CTGAGTTTTTTTTTTCGTTGCCACATTTTTTCACATATTATATTCTTATCTGCCATATTCCCGGACTTATATTTTTTTTATCATCATCCCCCGATTCTCCCCCTTTGCCATCACAAATTTGGTGTCAGGTGTGGGGTGGTTAAACGTACTAATCACCCAGCATCGAACTCGTGCCCACCTGCGCCTTAGTGCTACCGCGCCGCGATCCAGTTTTCACAATTTTCAAGACCGATTGAAGCGCTGCAGCTGAAGAAGTACCACCCTGAAGGCCGCTCTAACATCAACAACCAAGCCAACCTGACGGTCAAAGAGCCTGACTATCAAAAGACCTGCGAACACCAAGGAGAACGCCAAGCCGCTCGGACGGACTCCGGAATAAGTAAAAAACAGAATGGACGCAAACAGGAACGAGTGTAAAGTAATGACTCGACTAGAAAAACTTTTCCTAAAAAGAAATAAACTAGAGCCGCGTCAATTAATCGAAGCGTTCGAGAATATTATCTACGGAACACCACAAGATAACGAATTAGCGAGTGACATTTTCTCCTGGTACGAAGACCCGTTCCCAGGAGACGATGAAGAAGAGAGAGCCGAAATCGAGGCCCTAAAAATACAAGCACTCCTAAAGAACCTTGTATCGGGATTAGATGACTGCTACTTCACTTCAGACGTAGAGGAGGAGTAAATGGTAAATGTTAAGAACTGCTCGATCGTGTCGTTCCAATGTTCCGTATTAGCAGTTAGGCTAAATAATAATAGTCAAAGTTTACTTATCCTACGTTTGTAATCGAATATTTCTAAGTGATTTAATGTTAATTTAATATTACTTATTTTCTTTTCGGTTGTAATGTCCCCTATTAATTTAAAGTTTACGTATTTCATGTCTGTAATTGTTCTTGGATAATCTTGAATAATCTAATTTTTACTCATTTTACGTTCGTAGATAACAGTAATCGAATTGTTCTAATTGTGTTATTGTAAATTTAATGCTACTTATTCTCTTTGGTAATTGTCCCTATTAATTTAAAGTTTACGTATTTCATGTCTGTAATTGTTCTTGGATAATCTTGATTAATCTAATTTTTTACTTATTTTACGCTCGTAGATAACAGTAATCGAATTGTTCTAATTGTTTTATTGTAAATTTAATATTACTTATTTTTTTGGGTAATTGCCCCTATTAATTTAAATTTTACGTATTTCATGTCTGTAATTGTTCTTGATAATCTTGAATAATCTAATTTTTTACTTATTTTTCGCTTGTAGATAACAGTAATCGATTTGTTCTAATTGATTTAATGTAAATTGAATATTACTTATTTTTGTTTGTAATTGCACCTATTAATTTAAAGTTTACATATTTCATGTTTGTAATTGTTCTTGCATATTCTCGAATAATCTAATTTCTACTTATTTTACGCTTGTAGACAACAGTAATAGAATTGTTCTTTTGGGTTGTAATTGCCCTTTTAATTTAATGCTTACGTATTTCATGATTATAATTGTTTTTTTTATAATTGCCGCTATTAATTTAATGTTTAACTACTTTATGTTTATAATTCTTCCTACATAATCTGGAATAATCTACTTTTTACTTATTTCACGCGTACATAACAGTAATCGAATAATTCTAATTAATTTTTTTTTTTGTAAACTTAATACTTTTATTTTATGTTCGTGATTGTATTTGAATATTTCTAATTAATTTAATATTAATTTAATGTTACTTACTTCATGCTTGTATTTGTTCCTACCGAACCTCACATAATCTAATTTTCAGTAATTTTATGGTTGTACTGCATTGTAAATAATCTACTTTTTACTTATTTTACGTGTAAATAACAGTAATCGAATATTTCTAATTAATTTTTTTTTTTGGTAAACTTAATATCTTTCTTTTGTTTGTAATTGTAATTGAATATTTCTAATTACTTTAATGTTAATTTAATGTTACTTACTTCATGCTTGTATTTGTTCCCACCAAACCTCACATAATCTAATCTTCAGTAATTTTATGGCTGTACTGCATTGTAATCACATAATTTTAATTAATTTCAATTACTTATGTCATGTTTATACACGCCATAAAATCAAATTATAGATATTACTTGTAATCGAATAATAATAAGTCAATGCATATATTTACACTATATATTTCATGTAATCGAATAATAATAGGTTAATTCTCATATTTATGCTATATACTCCCTATTATCGCATTCTAATTTTCATTAATAATTTAATATTAACACTCAAATTAGAATTACTTATCATATACTCTATAAGCGATGAGTAATCTTTAATTAATTAGTTGTAAAACATGTATAAACAAGTAGAAATAAGGTCAAATTCAATGTTCTCATAAGGTCAGATTCAATGTTTCCAAGTTACGATTTGTGTCCATGAGACTTGCACCTTCCCATTTTCGTCGGCCTGCGCCGAAAGTTGGGGGTAGGGGTGGGAGGGGTGTGATGATACGGCCTTAGCGACACGGAGAAGCATGGGATCGGGGACCGGGCACCACCGGGCCCAAGACAATGCATACCAGAGCGACGAGGATGCCTACAGCACGACCGGGCAGGAAGGAGAGAGACAAATGGTCACTCGCCGTACTGGGCCAAACCATTCAAAATCCCTCTCGCGGCCACCTGAGTTTTTTTTTAATGGGCCGTTATCACTGCCCCGCTGGACCAAGCATCCTCGCTCCCGAAACGACGGGGGGGCCTAGGCTCTTTCGAGCTACGGGGTCCACACTGGTCAGCCCAGACTGACCAGTCACAAGCCGCGCCTTTGCGGGGGCCCCAAATTGCCACCCGACCAGGGGCCATCCTGCCTGGTCCACGACCCCAGCGACCCCGAAGTCGCAACGCCGTGTCGCAGCATCCCTCTCTCCTGACCTAGGACAGCCAATGACCAACTTTGGGGTTGTCCGGCGAAAATGGCAAAAGGGAGGACGAGAGGAGTCCGGGGCCTTCCCGAAAGGGAAGGCCACGGCACTATCGCCGCGACTCTCTTAGAGGACACATTTCCTTTTTCGAGAGACTTGCCCAGATTACCGATTTGATTCAGCCCCATTTTTTTCTTTCTGATCTGATATTTTCCTGAGTTCCCGATTTCGTCACTGTTTTTTTTGTATTTCCTGAGTTTTTTTTTCGTTGCCACGTTTTTTCACGTATTATATTCTTATCTGCCATGTTCCCGGACTTATATTTTTTTTATCATCATCCCCCGATTCTCCCCCTTTGCCATCACACTGTGCCGAACCATTGAACCTCTGCATTCGCGACCAAGACACAAACGCTTCGGAGGCAAATTCAATCGTCTAGAATTTTTCTTAATTTTTTTGAAGATGTGATTATAATAATTAATCATATTAATCAGCATATAATAGTTAATCATATTAATCAGCATATAATAATTAGTCTTATTAATCAGCAAATAATAATTAATGAAATTAACCGGCTTAAAAAAAAAAAAAAAAAAAAAAAAAAAAAAAAAAAAAAAAAAAAATAAACCTGGAGGATATTTGTCTTCCAAAGCTAATGCTTGAACCGGTTTTTTCGAGTAAGTTTTCGGAAATTGGGACAGTCCCCAAGAGAGTGGCGAGGGCCACAGAACACGTGGAGGGTCGTGGGGAGTTTCGCCGGAAGCTTCTGAAGTTTCGCCGGAGTAAGCAAGGGAACCTCTGCATTCGCGACCAAGACACAAACGCTTCGGAGGCAAATTCAATCGTCTAGAATTTTTCTCGCTAACTCGCACTTAGCTACCCTAAGTCCTCTCTAAGGGTGAAGGAATTATGTGCTCACCCAATTACGCACTTGTTTTTTTCTTTTTATCAATGCAGTACATGAGCCGTTGGTAATCACGTTTTCCCGATAATTTTAGTATCAGCATATTTCCACCTGTTTTCGACAAACCAGACTTTCGTTTGATTTGCGACTTGTCACTCTCGTTTCACCTTCCATTAAGGACTGGTGAACAGTTTCTTTATTTCGAGTTTCGTTGTTCTGATTATTATATTTATAATTTTATTTGTGAAAAATAAAATATTTTTTAAAAAAGGTTTTCGTATACCCTCAAACCAAAACTAGCGCAGAGGATCGAGGTTTTTTAATTGTGTAAGGAGACTAACCAGACAAGGCTAAATTACACCGGTGAAAGACATGAAACATGGAACATGGAAGTCAAAGCTGCTGCAAAACGAACATGAAGCCAGGAACGGGCAACCCGCCAGGAAAGATTCAAAACAAAGCAGGAGGATAAAAGTAGATGTGAAGGTAATTTTCTGATCTTTTTAAGTGTGAATTCCATTTTCTTAAAAATTGAGAGGAATTAGAAGCACATCTTGAGCTTAAACTTTACACTGCCCGCTCCATATTATTGTCAGTATAATATTTTTTCTTTTGTTTTTTTTCTTTTCTTTATCACGCCTGAATGGCGGTAAATTAATTAATTTAAAATAAAAGTAAAACATTAAAATAATACCTTATATAAGAAGCTGCATCATAGCTGATTTTAACACCCAAACACTTGGATCGCATTTTGCAAAAAAGAACCACTAGCATTGCAATGTTGCTAAGATTGTGCCACTTCTTTTGTCTTGGAGGAAAACCCCGATCATCCATTACTAGTTTCTATTTTACTCGCTAAAAACTGTAAATATAAGACAAAAATTACCATCTAAATTTCATAGTTTTTCACGATTTCCGCAATTTTATTGCAAAAGATGAAGTTGCACAATCATAGCATCATTGCAATGCAAGTGGTTCGTTTTTGCAAAAAGCAATCCACTTGATGGTACGAAAACGTTTCATGCAATCCACGAAGCATCCACTGTGTCACTCCAAGAATACGTATATCGCCCAACAGAGTGATTCCGCGACTTTTAGGCGAAAAATATAGAGTAAGAGTAAATATTCCTTTTCTCCCAGACTTCCGATACAACATTTTATAGATACATTGCGTCAACTGTATGAACTTGTTAAGAATGCAAGAAAATCTTGTGATCAGAAAAAATGTGATTGTGAGTATAATTGCTCAATATTCAAGGTGAAATCCACAAACAGTGAGAATGGCCTCGCTGACAAGTACTGCACATTGTAATTTTAAAGGAATGTTTGGTATAACTTGCTTTGTTTTGCTCATTGCTTACGTAATCTGGCTTTCTACTCACTTCCCAAGTCTAATTAGACATCTGGTTATGCTACAAAATTGTACGTCCTTATTTTTGAAAAAATTCTTAATTTTCAATAATGTTCCTTCGTCATGTTTATTTTTGTACAGTGATTAGATTATGCATTTGACAGTGTAAATTACACTTTGTGATTTGATGGTGGGAGAGTTTGGTGGGATGGTCGGCAATTTAACTGAATGTAAATACATTTTAGTTTTTCATCTTTTTACGTTTCCGCTTTCTCACTCGAGTGTGCGTCAAAACATGAGCATTGAGACTACTCTTCCACATGAAAGAAGCTGAACAATGAATACAACTATATGATTTCTCACCAGTATGTGTGCGCAAATGTGCATTTAAATTACTCTTGCAGCTAAATGCGCTGGGGCATTCACTGCAGGTGAATGGTTTCTCTCCGGTGTGCCCGTACATGTGACGTTTAAGGCGGCTTGCTGTGGCGAATGAAGAGGAGCATTCTTTGCAGGAGAAGGGATTACCTCCGGTGTGAGTCAAAATATGAGTTTTAAGGGTGAGCTTGCGGGCAAAAGAGACTGAACAATAACTACATCTAAAAGGTTTGACGCCACTATGCAATCTCATATGACATCTCAAGTGACTAATCTGGAGGAATGATGCAGAGCATTCATTGCAGGTGAACGGCCTCTCTCCGGTGTGCGTCAAAACATGACTTTTGAGAGAGATTTTGTACTTGAAGGCAACTGGACAATGTGGGCAACTATAACGTTTTTCACTCCCGTGCGTTTTCATGTGGGTGTTCAAGAAACATTTCAGGGCGAATGATGCGGTGCATTCGTTGCAGGTGAATGGTTTCTCTTGGGAGTGAGTCAAAAAATGGGTTCGAAGGGTTTTCCTGGTTTTGAAAGTGGCTGAACACTGACTGCAACTGAAACGCCTTTCACAACTGTGCGTATTCATATGAATTTTCAAGTTTTGAAATTGGGCGAACGACGCGGGACACTCACTGCAAGAGAATGGCTTCCCTCCGGTGTGAGTCAAAATGTGATCTCGAAGACTGCTCCTAACTGCAAAGGACGCTGGGCAGCGACGACATCTAAACGGTTTCTTACCGAGGTGAGTATCCATGTGACTTGTTAAATTGCTTCTTAGGGCAAATGATGCGGAGCATTCACTGCAAGAAAAAGGTTTCTCCCTATTGTGCTCTGATCTATGTTGTTTGCCAGTTCCATTCTGCGTGGACGAAGCTCCAAGATGAGGTTTCTTAAGACAGCGAGTACGAATGTGTCTACTTACACTGCTTTTTGTGGTGAATTCCGCAGAACAATCATTGCAGGTGAATATTTTTAGGGGGTTTTCTTGCGTGGAGGGGGTAGAACAAAGATTGCCCTTCTGCTCATCGATTTGTTTGTTAATAAAATTCTTCTTGCCTATGAAAAGCGGATCTTGTGGGCTACCTTGAGTGGCAGCACGGTCCTTCAACTGACATGGAGTTGGGAGAAGTGACGAAGGGGGTTCGCGAAAACCTAAGAAAGAGGGTTTCGGAATACATACTTTATTCGCAACTAGGTGTGTTATTTTTTGCATTATTCGTGAACGCAAATCATTTAAATTAATAACAGACTTCGGTATAGGTGTCTGTTCAGGAACTGTCGAATGTTGTGGTAGCTGTGAGGGGAAACTTACAGGTGTCTGTTCAGGAACTGTCGAATGTTGCGGTAGCTGTGAGGGGAAACTTACAGGTGTCTGTTCAGGAAGTGTCGAATGTTGTGGCAGCTGCGAGGGGAACTCGAGTTTAATATCAGTACTTGAGTGTAAAGGATTGCACGAATCATCTTCAAAATCTGCTGGTTCTTCTTTGATTATGCTCTTGATGACCGTCTGAAAATTCCGTTGCAGTTGATTTTGAAGAGTACATTCTTCTGAGGAATGAAACTGGTCCTCCTCGTTCTTCGGGATTCGTAAGGCTAAATCAATGGAATTAGATACCTGGCTGAGAGAATTATCCGATGAGCTGCCTTCCTGTTTAATGAACACCGGATGACGCTCCTCTGGGTCGATGTGCGACACAGCCATTGCTTGCTTTTCGTCAGGAACATCATCACTTGCGAGCCTGGGTTGGCAAAGGTTCACATTCTGGGGTGGTTCTTTCATATCTGTCCTTTCTTCTTTCATGACCTGAACAAAATAAAATTTCAAGATGATTTTAAGCTATGATGCGAAAAAGGACCATCGGGCGTAATGCAAAGCATTATGGCTACAGAGTTACGTATTTAAGTAATTGAGCATTCACAGGTATCTTAAATTTTTCAAATTTTAGGTGTAAAATGAATTAAAGACGAGGACTGAGCACGAGGTTATTCTTGGTTTCTAAACTGAAGAATTATTTGAGAAAACATGACAAAACAACCTAGTGTGCCAAAATACATGTGTTTAACTGGGAAATACCGCCAGATGACGTCACAAGGCGGCAAATTTTCTCACTTTTAAATGTATTTTTCTACAATTTCCCATCTCAGAAAAAATTTATGAAAAATACTGCGAATTCAGCTCACTAAGCGCTCTCAGATAAAGCAATGCATTTTTTATATGCAAATTCTCGATCGATGCATGTGAGTAAATCAAGCCATGCATCCCAGTGATGTAAATCAATTTACATGCTCGTAAATTTTTTTTTTCTCTCAATACTTATTACTTACCCCACCCCTGCGTCCTACGTGCTCCCTTATAAAATTGCCACCCACATATGCCCCTTCCTTTTTCTATCCACTTCCTAAGAGAGAGGGAGGCCTGTGGCCTAACGTGGTTCTAAACTGGGAAAAAGGTCAAACCCATCGGTCCTTTCCAAACAAAGTACACGCCAAAGAATAGTCGGCGCTGATGACAGAATCTTCTGTTCAAAAGGCTCCTGCACTTTCTTTGTTATACTAGAGGTGTCGTCAGCCAAGTCGACGGTTGTTCAGTGTTCACTTTTGGGTTGCAAGCGTTTTCGCGTCACTACTATCCACGCGAAAACATCCGACTCTCGCAAAAGCAAGAACACAAGCTTAGATGTATTTTTTTAATACTTTCGGACCTCGTAACACTTTACTTTTTAGTCACACAGAAATCACAGCCACATAAAAGTCGCAAATCATAACTGGACTACATTTTGCAATTTGGACCTATAAATTCCGGCCCAGTTTTAAAACGACGTATGTGCCATTAGTTTCCCTATGCACATAAGTGTTTTTTCAGATGAGCCAGAATATATAGGTCCAAATTGCAAAATGCAGTCCAACTGATAAATAGTTCTTTTACGATACGATCATGAGACGGATGTTTTCAAGGTGGATAGTAGCGAACGCCGCTTCTTGCAGTGGCTCAAATTCGTCGTTGGCGCTTGCAAACCGAAAGTAAACAACCGTCAACTTAACTGACGACATCTCTAACAGAACTTTGGTCGTGGGCTCACAGTACCCACTTGAGGAATCCCGAGCCGAACGGACGAAGAAGGCGGGAGCGACGATAGTTTTCCCGGAAAATCTAAAGGGGTGGCAGCAACCTTCTAGAGGATTGGACTAGAGTACCTGTATACGGGAGAGTATTGCCATTTCAATCCTTTTACCACACAAAAAGTATGCCGCTCTCTGATTGGTCGGCGATTATGGAGACCCAGATTTGGACCCACGTAAACAAACCCTGGCCCCTCCGCTCCTAGTTTGGACCAGTGTAAACAAACAAGATGGCGACAAAGTTCTGGACGTGATTTAGGATGTGATAGAAATTTTCACGATCAACTTCTGAATTGAGTTCGGATCGAACTTCGATTAATGTTTTTGACGAAAACTAAGCTTTGAGACTGATTGTCATTTACTTCTCAGCTGATAATACTTGCTCCTCTGGGTCGGGTTTGTTTACATTGGTCCAACTTTGGAGCTCCGAGATAGCCAACAACGGATGAACCAATCAGAGAGCAGCATAGAGATGAAAATACTCTCCCGTATACAGCAGGTATCCCCGGTAGGTATGTACTGTAGGTCGGACCGGAGACCCAGCCGCCGCACAGTGAATCGAATCAATTAGAGAGGTCGGACATTAGTCCAGGCGCCTGGTAAGTCTACCTAGAATTTTGGGTACACAGCGATTTTTTTGGCTTACTTTATGTTTTTTGGGTCGCTGAATCCGAATCTGAAGTTTCCTACCGCGTATCTGGTGAGAATTTTCCGCCATTTTGAAAAAATGGTCTGATAAGGCCTTTTTTTGTGGTTTTCTTGATATAGCGGCTACGCATGAGAAAAAGTCCCGGATTCAGTTAATGTTTTGAATAACTGACATAATTTGGAAGAAAATGGTGTATACATACGCTAGGTTTGCTTAAAAATTGAGGACGATACAGCATCGTGAACATCGCGCCCATTCACGTTTTCGCGGCGCACCCGTCAACGCGCGATCCGGCTCGCCGCGGTCAGCCAAGTTCCGAAGCGTTCCGAAGTTCCAAGATCCGAGGTTCCTCAATTTTTTAGCAAACCTAGCATATTCATATAGCATTTACTTCTAAATTATATCAGCTATTCAAAGTATTAATTACCTCCGGGACTTTTTCTCATGCGTATAGCCGCTATATCAAGAAAACCGCAAAAAAGGCCTTTTCAGGCCATTTTTTCAAAAATGGCGGAAAATGTTCACCAAATACGCGGTAGGAAACTTCAGATTCGGATTCAGCGACCCAAAAAACATAAAGTGAGCCAAAAAGATCGCTGTGTACCCGGAATTCCAGGTAGTCTCATTTTTAGCTACCCGGCGTCTGGACTATAAAGCCAGGGTTGTAATGCGCAAACGGATAATGTTTGCAGAATGATTATAAATTAAGAGGCAGGAGTAATTTCACTAAATAATAAAGCGAACTGAAATCAACAATATAATGCAAATCAATTTGGAAAACCTCGTCATGTAAATACAGGAGATTCGAAAACGCCTTCAATTGAGGCGTAATACCTCACGCGTTCCGGAGAGTTCGAATAGTTGTATCCCTGCGCCTTAGCAAGGCGATGGAAGCTTAATATTGAAGTAGCGTCCCCGCGTGGTTTTTCGGTTTTCCTGTGCCGCTACTGCAGTTTCGACCGTTAAGGCCGTAGTTTAAGGGCGCTAAAGTCAGGGTTGTATTTCGCAAATGGACAATTTTTGCAAAATAATTAAAAATTAAGGAGCAGGAGTAATTTCACTAAATAATAAAGGGAACTCAAATCAACAATATAATGCAAATCAATTTGGAAAATCTCGTCATGTAAATACAGAAGATTCGAAAACGCCTTCAATTGAGGCGCGATACCTCACGCGTTCCGGAGAGTTCAAATAGTTGTGTCCCTGCGCCTTAGCAAGAAGGTGGAAGATTAATATTGAAGTAGCGTCCCCGCGTGGTTTTTCGGTTTTCCTGTGCCGCTACTGCAGTTTCGACCGTTAAGGCCGTAGTTTAAGGGCGCTTCAGTCATGGTTGTATTTCGCGAATGGATAATTTTTGCAGAATAATGAAAAATTAAGAAGCAGGAGTATTTCACTAAATAATAAAGGGAACTCAAATCAACAATATGATGCAAATCAATTTGCAAAACCTCGTCATATAAATACAGAAGATTCGAAAACGCCTTCAATTGAGGCGTGATACCTCATGCGTTCCGGAGAGTTCAAATAGTTGTATCCCTGCGCCTTAGCAAGGCGATGGCAGCTTACAAGGGCCCTGCAGCCTCCGATTGGGCTGAATTTTTTTTTTTTTTTACAGACTCTATGGACCAATTCTAGAGGTCAATGAGAGCCGTTTTCCCGAATGCGCAATGAGAAGGGCGTAAAAAATTCCCAAAAGTTGCGTTTTCGGCGTGTGATTTGGTCGTGCGGCGCGTGGCAACACTGAAGCAGCTTCTTGTGCAGCTGTATCGCACCACCCGTTTCAGCGGAGTCTGGAGCCCTACTGCACAGGGGCTGGATCCATGATTATGAAATTCCGGGTTCGACTCCCGAGTGAACTGATTACCTTTTATTTTATCCATGATCACGTAACGTTTTATTTTTAATTCTTCATCCGTATTTATAAATCAAGCAGTCCCGATCACTATCCCATCCCTCAATTTACGTACACCCCCCCCCCCCCCTATTTCCACAAATTGACCATCAATAACCGTATGAAACTTCATGGACATAAATTAATGAATTAAAGAGCAAAAGAAAACCTTATTTGTTACAACATTATCTCCAATTGTTTTCCCTGGAAAAATATGTAATGCGTAAATAAATCGAAGAGCAACCCTAAACCCATGTGCATGCGAGGGCCCCCAAGAAACACATTACTTTGGTGAAGTTTCATACGGTTATTGGTGGTCAATGTGAGTAAATAGGGGGGGGGGGGGGGCGGTGTACGTAAATTCAGGGATGGGATAGTGATCGGGACTGCTTGATTTATAAATACGGATGAAGAATTAAAAATATATGTTACGTGATCATGCAGAAAATAAAAGGTAATCAGTTCAATCGGGAATCAAACCCGGAATTTCATAATCATGGATCCAGCCCCTGTGCAGTAAGGCTCCAGACTCCGCTGAAACGGGTGGAGCGATACAGCGGTACCAAAAGCTGCTACAGTGTTGCCACGCGCCGCACGACCACCAATCACACGCCGAAAACGCAACTTTTGGGAATTTTTTATGCCCTTCCTAATGCGCATTTGGGAAAACGGATCAAACTTGACCTCCCGAATTGGTCCATAGAGTCTGTAAAAAAAATTCAGCCCAATCGGAGGCGGTAGGTCCGTAAGTTCCCCTTGTTAATATTGAAGTAGCGTCCCCGCGTGGTTTTTCGGTTTTCCTGTGACGCTACTGCAGTTTCGACCGTTAAGGCCGTAGTTTAAGGGCGCTAAAGTCAGGATTGAATTTCGCGGATGGATAATTTTTGCAAAAAAATTAAAAATTAAGAAGAGGAGTAATTTCACTAAATAATAAAGGGAACTCAAATCAAAAATATAATGCAAATCAATATGGAAAACCTCGTCATGTAAATACGGAAGATTCAAAAACGCCTTCAATTGAGGCGCGATACCTCACGCGTTCCGGAGAGTTCAAATAGTTGTATCCCTACGCCGCGCCGTAGCAAGAAGGGGGATGATCAATATTGAATTAGCGTCCCCGCGTGGTTTTTCGGTTTTCCTGTGC